TGTCATACGTACGCTTTCTAATTTTTTTTTTGATTTTTATGGGCTAGGGGCTATAAAAAAGATCTTCGGAAAATCAATTTTTATATTACAAATTTTATAATAAAGCATAAGTGCAAATTTATTAATACAACTACTTTTGTGTCTTTAATGAAAAATGATTTTAATCTTATTTTAAATTAATTTATACAAAAGAAAAATTCTTTTGAAAAAATTGTCAATTTCATTCCTTTTTATATAAAAATTTTTTATAAAAAATTTAAAAAAATATGTACAAAAAAAATCTTTTTAAAAAGTGTAATTAATTTTGAATAGGCAACAAATAAAGAAAAGATTTTTATAAATTAAAAATTTTATATTAGGAGTATAAGTTTTCGGTTTTAATGTACATTTCATTAAAAAGAAACAATCATTCCGGTAATTTATTGTGGGGTGGTAATACGAGATAAATTACAGGTTCCTGCACGATAAATCTTATTTATTTCCAAATATCCTGTTTTGACGTACGTACATAAATGATTTAAAAATAAAATTTGAAACTGGCAAGTGAGCATAAAAAATTACTTAAAATGGTAAAGAACTCCCATTTACATTAGAATTGGTAATTTGTAATACATTTGTTAAGATCGAGCCGGATACCCAGCTTGGGATTCTAAGTTCAGCTACCCCGATTCTGAATTCTATCCCTATGCTGATCAAAATTTGTGACTGGTAAACAAATGTTCTTATTTGCTTGTACCGTCTGTTTACATTTCTTATCTATAAACTATGGTAAACAAGTGTTCTGATTGAATTTCATAATTAAAATGAAACATTATATAATGATAAAAATAAAACTTTTTAATTATAAAGGATAAACATGGATGAGTTGCTTGAACATGTTAAAAATACAATCATAAAAAACGAAATGGACGATGAAATAATAATCCTAAATGTTGGTGGTGTTAAAGTAAGCCCAATACCCCTTTTAAAATTACATTGTGTTAAAATAAGAATTAATTTTAATTTTTATTATAGTTTGAAACTACTCGTAGTTCTTTAATTGCTCATCCAGAAACAACACTAGGAAAATTATTTGATCCTAAAAATGCTGAACCACCCAAACCAATTTATCCTGGTGGTAACGAGTATTTTATCGATCGAAATGGTCATGCTTTTTATTACATTCTAGAATATTACCGTACTGGTGAAATCCTCTGGGATGACGAAATGTCCAAGTCCAAAGAATTTCCTGTTACAAAACGGGCAATTGAATTGGAAATAGAATATTTTAAGATTCCAATTAATTCTGAAAAACGTGCTGCCCGTAATTTACAACAAGGTGTTACAGTAATCGATAAATTTTGTGAAAAATTGATACCTTTTATTAACGAGGCGATAAACAGATTTATTTCAGAAGTCAAAGTTGGATATTCTAAAGATGGTGGATTTTCCTTTTGTGAACCATTTAAAAACTATAAAGATGGAGAGTGGTTTCTAGAGTTTAATAAACAAGCCTATGCATTCTTAAACCATGAAAAGGTTGTTAGTACAATAGAAAAGCGACTGAAGAACTATTTTCCTTCTATTAAAGTAACAACTGAATATGGTATATATGGAGTTTTGGTAGTTACAGATTTCTTTGACATTGATACTATAGTGGACAGTCTCGAATAACAATATTACTGTTATTGATCATCTGGAAGCATCTATTTTTAGATAATATAATCGTTAATTTATTCAGTTAACCTATTTCTTTTTTTAGCATTCTTAATTTGTTTTTCTCTTATCTTTCACAAAAGTTTAATAACTATATTTATGTCTGCTAAGACTTAATATGATTGTAAAAGTTACGGTAAAACCTCCATAATTGCACCCTCTGTGAGTGCATACCCTCTCTAAATGCACCTTTTCTTATTGCTTCCTAAGTGTATGTTATTTAAGTTTGGTCCCAATAAACTAAAGATTTTACTAAATCACACCGGTTGGTGTTCAACACCACAGTTGGTATATCTCATAAATTGGTGGACGTACTGATAAAAATGTTCAGCGTTCCAAAAATTTCACCTTAACTAAAAATCTAGGCTTATATCTTTACCATAGTTTAGGATCTCTAAGTTTTACTAGCAAAACTATGTATTAAAAAGTAGGGGAAATTACAAATAAGGGCCCAAATTCGAAAATAATTAAAATAAGGACCCAAATTCGAAAATAATTAAAATAAGGACCCAAATTCGAAAATAATTAAAATAAGGGCCCAAAATAAAAATAATTACAAATAGAGGCCCGATATTAAAAATTATTACAAATAAGGGCCCAAATCTAAAAAAAGCCAATCTATCATAATCTCGTAATTAAATAGATGTTTAAGTAATCGTTATACCATTTTTTTCAAAAAAAATAAAAATATAAATAAATAAAGGAAAATGAACTGTATATTATTTAAAGAATAATTGCAAATTTATTATAAAATTATTACATAAGTCTAATTACATAATTACTAGACGCAGATCGTCTTATTTAGCATTTTTATGTCTTCGAACACATGTACACGAATTATGACCTTTTTTATACATTTTATACAGATAACCTGGTTTTTCGGTGCTGTTTCTTAGCGACTAAGGAAATGATTTTTCTTGGCGGTGGTAAAGTTCTGTTATCAAGAATACATGCTTCTGTATCAACTGACTCATCAACTTGATAAACCATTCAATTATGACATCTGTTAACAAAAGATTGAAGTTACTAAGTGGTGTTTGTAGTAATATTGTCTGTATTGAAGCATATATTAAGCAATGATTATATTAAAGTATATTAATTTTGCAAAAAAGTAAGATAATTGTTTCATAAAGCATTCATTAGTAATCATGAATTAAAAGATTCAGATATATTGGAAGTAAGATATTTAAATCTATTTCATGAGTATTATTTAGAGTTTATGTTGTGTAAATATTTTACTTAAATAAATTGTTATGCTTTGCCGGAGATGCTTCTTAATTTGATAAGTTGATCTTTTACTGTAACCTATTTATACGTTTGTTGCTTCTTTAACTACTTTAGTTTGTGTTATTTCAGATTACTCTTCTAATAAAATTATGTTTTTAATGATCCTAGTAGGACTTCTTTGCATAACTTATTAGTTACCTTACAAGTTAAATATAGAGATGTTTATACTATCTAACTAGAAGGTGCAAAAATGTTGATATTATTTTTTTGTCTTAAGAACATATATATATAATTATTATATAATCAAGATTTTCTATAATACTATTATTATATATAGTGTTTGTTTTTTACAAGTAGGGTTTTTTTTTAAGGTAACCTCTTTGTCTTTTGACTTTTATTAATGACTTGTTTGGTAATGTAATTCTATAAATCACTACAGGAAGAGTGTACAATTGGTTATACATGTAACTTTTTTATATTACCTATTTAAGGAGTTTGCTTGAAGGTTTCTTACAAATTGTTGTATCTAACACCTCTACTTGAGTGTTCTATTTTAAACCTTCTGAACTTGCATTTCTGTTAACATTAACAGAGTTAAGTCCAGGTCATTGTTTTAATCTTAAAACTATTTTATCCTTAAAATAAACCTTTCAGAGTTTTTTGTACCTATTTTTATAGTTGATCTAGATATTATTATAGTAGAACCAATACTTGTAGTCAGAGTTATATTATTTGGTTGCTATATCCTTATAGAGTTTACATAGACCCTAGCATCTACTTCATAGCATAACCTTAGTACTTTAGTATATCTTTGCTTTTTCACTTACCTTTTACCAGACTTCTAATCTAAATAGTCTTTGTTAAATTATGTTTAGTTTATTGATATATTAGGTTAATCTGATATTCTTTTTCTTTAGTTTGTTCCAGTGACCTGATTAGTGATATCTTCAAAATTCCTGACCTAAAGGTTCTTACCCATTCAGGTACTACAATCAGGTACTATGACCTTGGTATCTATTTTCTCAGACTAGCCTTATAGTAAGATTATTGAAAATTTAACTACCTTTTTACTCAGTTTTTTTTTTTAAATTTCCTACTACATAGTCACTAGTAGGTTGCAGCTAGCAGCTGTTTTATTAATTTGAATTTTTCAAGTTCATGAGACCTTTTATTAAGACTCTGCCTATATTTTATATTTTTATTTATGTATATTTACAGTACTATCTATATATTAATTTTGTGTTCTTATTACCCCAAAATTTTACTAGAATTATACCCAATTAGCAATTCTTTTGTTCTATTATTATTTTTGGCCTTCTAATCATCACGTCTTTTTATATTAGATCTGTCTCTATTTAAGGATCTGGGTATCAAAGATCTTCTTATTTTCGTAATGCACTATCAGATGTGGTTAATCAATAATCGTGATCCTAACTCAGTTTTTATCTTCTATTGTATTTGAACCAGCAATCTTGCAATTGGCAACCTGGAAGCATAACCATTTCACTATTGACCTGCAGGTCTTTATTTAGGTCTTTTTAAATAGACTTCATGTTATCTAATTTTAACAAATTTATATGATTATAAAGTTTATCTAGTATTTGCACTACTTGATTTGTTAGTTTGTATTTTTTTGTATAACTATTTATACAAATGCTTTATGACCTATCAGTCATGCTAGTTTGATTACCATTACAGATATCCTAACCTAATTGTTAGTAACAGTTGCTGTAATATAAATATTATATAAGTAATTATTTAAATTTTTATTATTGATAAAATTTGAACACCCAATTTAACACTTGAAAAATTGATAGCTAACCATTTCACTAGGCCACTACATCTTTTTTAATTAGATCATTTTTAAAAATTTTTTTATCTAAATTTATATAAGCTTATTTTATAAAGTTTTATATTTAATTATTTGGTATTTTATAGTTATGAAATCAAATTTATTTTTTATTATTAGCTAATATTAAATAAGTATTTTTTTTTTCTTTTAACTAGTTTTGCCAAGATCTATTTGCATTCTTTATATTTTTTGAACTAATGTCCTTAATATACTTTTGAAACTAAACCTCAACCTCTCTTGGTCTGTACTTTTAAACTTTTTAAAAGCAACTATTGTACTGATTCCTGCTGGTATCAAAAGGCTTTGCCAGGCTTTAGTTATAACCAGCTGTTACCATGAGTTCATGTAGTATCTTTTATTGATAGACTTTTTGCCTTACATTATGTCTCATAACTTTGGTTATTCCAAATTGGACTCCAACTCATGTTTATTACTATGTGGCTTTTTAACTACAGGTCACTTGTTATTTTCAGAAATAAGTCTGTCTATTGAACATTCTGAGTTCCTGGTTCTGCAGTGTTGCAGTTCTCTATTTTGGAAATACATCTCTACAATTACTATTACTAGGATTTGAATTGGCAACCTTGTGATTTGTGACCTTGGAACATAACTACTATACTATTAACTCTAAAGGTCATTAAATTATTTATTTTATTAGTAAAAATTTAAAAGCTTAAGTATTAAATTATATGATTAAGAAATGTGATGACTTAGTAAAGTAGATAAGTTGTCAACCTTCTAAATAATAGATTATAGGTTTAAAACTTATTAATAATAAAAATTTGAATAATTGCCTATATAATACATAGATAATATTATAGTGATAATATTCTGTTAATTAATTAAAATAAGATATTTGCAACTATGATTATGCCAACATGACTGCAGATTATAGAGCATTTGTGCAATGTTTAAGTTATATAAAGAAATGCAAGCTGGCATTAGCTAATACAAATCCAAGATAAGTTCTTAAGGTTATATAAATTTATAGAACTAAAAAATGAAGCCCATATGAGAAGACTTAATAGAAAAGTAGTACAGATCTTTAATGATATTACTGTAAAAGCTAGATTTAAAAAACAGTTACTAATATAAAAAAATTAAGTAAACAAAAATCTTAAATGAGAAATATCACTAACTAGACTACTAAAAGTCTTAAACTAGAAGAAAAAAATCTTAAGAGGCAAAACTCTAAGATATTAGGAACAGGTTACAATTCTTTTAAATTATCTGAATTGGGATTTTGATAACAAAACAAAAATATATTATAAGTACTAGAGATATGCTATAAAGTTGATATTAGGATTTGAATAAACTTTGCAAGAATAAGCTTTATTAATAAAAAAATTAAATATAGATAATTAGTTAGCAAGAGGGCTCTCTAGAGCCCTATAATCAGATAAAATAATCTAAAATATGTAATAGCTTAATAAATATACAGACAAGAAGAATAGAGTTAGATTAGACAGCACTTAAATATATAGAAACTTGTGCATTATCTGTTAGATGTAGTATAAGAATTAGAGTTTTTAATTAAGTAATCTTTTAGCAGATTACAAATATGGCAGCTAGTATAAAATTTGTAGATAGACTAGAGTTTGAAACCGGGTTTATTTTTCTTATGTTAAATCCAATTAAAACCAGTTTTAACATAAGAAAAATAAAACTGGTTCCAAACACTAAGATAGACTACTTAAATAAATAGCCAAAAGCTATTCATATAACTAGTTGCACACTTATCTTTTACAAGTTATATAATTATAATTTTATTTTTTTTGCTTTTACTAAAGTTGTTAGTTATTAGTAGTTACTGTTTTTATTATAAATTTAATTATAATTATATAACTTGTACAAAGTGAACTTTATGCTATACTAACAG